GAGAGAGAGAGAGAGAGAGAGAGAGCACAAGTGAGGAGGCGGGGGGGAAGGGGGAACAGAGGGAGAGAGAGAGAGAGAGAGAGAATTTCTGCTAGACTCCTGGATGAGTGTGGTGCCCGATTCGGGGCTCGATCTCACAACCCTGAGTCAAAATCAAGAGTCAGATGCTTAACCAACTGAGCCACCCAGCACTCCTAAAAGTATACTTCTGATTGTATTTCTTTTTTGTATTCTAGGCTTCCATGGCCTCCCGCAGCCTGTAGAATAAATTTTTGAGTTCATCATTAAGGGCCAATGTGGTTCCAACCAATATTTTTACCATAACTAGGGCCATGCTGACGCTGCACATTGTTTTATTTCCTTATCCATACCAGGTCATCAGCAGTTCCTGGAATAAGCCTGGACTACCACCCCCCCCCCCCCGCCCGAATTTCTGTTCATTCACTGAATCATCAGTCTCCTCTAGCTACTAAAATCTTACTCTTCCAGTTTCAATTCCTCATGGAAGTCTGTGCTCTCATTTTCCTGAGTTAATCTTTCCCTTCTCTGGTTGTCATAGAGACAATCTTTTAAAAAAGAGATAATCTTTTCCTTATCACTTTGTTTCAATAGGTGGCTGTTCCCTCTGTGTTTACCCTCTGAGTGCCCTCTCAGGGTTGAAACTGTTATGTTTTTCTGCATTATCGGTCTTAGTTTGTGACACATTGTTAGAAGCCAACTAATATTTGTTGGATTAATAATTTACTTTCTGGCCCCAGAAATGACAGGAAATTAGAGTAGGTAACATATTTTTCATTTCTAATTTAGCGAAAATAAGCATTGCTTTTATGGAATTAAATTTAGTAGATTATGGAGAAGTAGTTTCTAGTTTTAACTGTGCTAGCAACAATATTTGTAATCTTGTATGGCCTTGTGGAGGTCCTTGGGCTTATTTCTTTTTCAGTAAAAAAGAAGATACAAATGGTTTCAGGGTTTCTTTCTAGCGAATACTTTATAGTTCTAGAAACAATGCAGCTATTTTTAAGAGAGACAAGGGTAGAATTAGAAAGAGAAAACATGCAGATTTTGAAAAGAATCCTAAGGAAATATTTTAGACTGTAATTTTATTTTATCATTCTACTGAGGGCACATTTTAAAATACTGGCTCAACGATGTCCTTTGACAGATGAATGGATAAAGAAGATATGGTATATGTATACTATGGAATATTACTCAGCCATCAGAAAGGATGGAATACCTATCATTTGTTTCGATATGGATGGAACTGGGAGGGTATTATGCTGAGCGAAATAAGTCAGTTGGAGAAAGACAATTATCATATGGTTTCACACATATGTGGAATATAAGAAATATAATATATAAGATATATATATATAATATATAAGAAATAGTGAAAGGGACTATTAGGGAAAGGAGGGAAAACGAGTGGTGTAAATTAGAGAGGAAGACAAACCACGAGAGACTCCTAACTCTGGGAAACAAACAAACGGTTGCAGAAGGGGGGAAGATGGGGTGACTGGGTGATGGGCATTAAGGAGGGCATTTGATGGGATGAGCACTGGGTGTTATGTATGTTGGCAAATTTAATTTAAATAAAATATTTTTAGGGACACCTGGGTGGCTCAGCATTTCAGCGTCTGCGTTTGGCTCAGGGCATGATCATAGTTTAGGGATCGAGTCCCACATCGGGATCCCTGCAGGGAGCCTGCTTCTCCCTCTGCCTGTGTCTCTGCCTCTCTCTGTGTCTCTCATGAATAAATAAATAAAATGTAAAAAAATAAAATAAAATATTTTTAAAAATAAAGAACTAGCTCAGAATTGTGTATTTAAACACACAAAAAATGAATGTTTACAAGAAATATACTTACCATACAGAAGCCAAAAGACCAAATGCCACTATTTCGTTTCCCCTTGCGAAAAATGAATGAAATCACATATGTCAAGAAGATAAGTGAGGTGGAATAGCCAACAGCACATGGGATCTGAAATCAACAGGAATGGTGTGTTTAGTTAAAGACAAATGCAGTCTAAGAAAACAGTAGGATCCAAAAGATTGTCAGAGCACAGTGTTCTACAGTTACTTCACTAATGACAATTTAATATCAATGAAAATAGTTTACACCTTCAAATTTTTTCATTAAATCATACAACAATATTTGTTCTATGAAGATGGTCACTTACTTGTATAATCTGACTTGTAATTTTAAAGAAAGTCTCTTGGAGATTTAAGCCATAGTCTAGTAAATACATAAGAAGGAAGATCAAGCAGTACATTGGAACATCCACCAGCGCCTGCCCAAACCAGTAAGCAGAAGGGAAGAGGCCCGAAATCCGTAGCTGGGACTGAATTTTGTTCTGATTAAAAAAACAGCAGAGATACAAGGTGGTATTTCAATTTGAGGTTTAAGAAAATGTGGATTATGTAAGGAAATATTCAAACAAAATTTTCATATGTAATAATTCTGCATCATGCTATAAGCATCATCTGGACCAAGGGATATGGATAGTTCCAAACATAAATGATCAGTTTGCTGCTGTGACTAACAACATTGATGTTCATCACACACCTGGCAGAAATATGTGAAAGAAAATCTAAGTATTAATGCTGCAGTAAACAAAATAGAGATTAATGATGTATGGGAGCATAAATCAAATTACCTCTCAGACAGGAGCCTCATTTAGCTAATTAGAGACCATCAGCAAATTAACTATCTTTTTAAAAATTTATTTATTTATTTGGGGGGAGAGAGAGAGAACAAGCATGAGTGGGGGAGGGAGAGCGGGAGAAGCAGACTCTCTGCTGCAGAGAGCTGGACGTGGGGCTCCATCCCAGGACCCTGAGATCGTGACCCGAGCTGAAGGCAGATGCTTAATCAACTGAACTATCTAGGCACCCTGAATTTAACTAAAATTAAAGGAGAAAATATACTTGAAATTGCCTAATTTATTATAATTGCTTAATTTGTGCCAAACCCCACATCACTTGATAAGTAGCTTTAAAATGTGTGATTTGGTATGTTTATTCAGAGTTTGACAAGGAATATAAAATACATAATATTTATGAATGTAATAATATTGATGTACATATGTATAAATATTTGGAAGGATAATAAACATTTGGACATGTGTTATGCCCCAAACAACCTAAGGTATCACTTACTTAAAAGAATAAAGCTGTTTTACATGTATATAAAAAACATATTATATATATCTATGTATAATTTAATCATAAATAAAATATAGTATTTTATGTATATAAAATATATAATCTTTGGGGAGACAGACTTGTGCTCTCCCTATATAATAAATATATATGCAAACTATGTGGTTAGGTAAAGGGGGCTTGAAGCTCTAGGATTAGTTAAGCTTGCCTAGGAGAGAATGAAATGTAGCATGAAGAGAGATCTAGGGGCTGAGATCTGAGGAATTCCAGAATTTAGAGACAATGGAAATGAGTTACAAGTTCCAATGGAGGCAGACAGACAGTGGCCAAAATGTTGGGAGAATCATGATGGAATTGTGGCATCACACTGGCCAGAGAAAGAAAGTGTTTGCATTTCCTCTGGGAGACATTTTTTAAGTTAGAACTATGTTAACACTAAGGTGACTGGCAGTTCTATCAGGCCAGCAGATGGCATTCCCCAAGATTCCTAGAGGTTCTACACCAAGAAGGGAATAAGGACGTGGATAGCACCCCCTTCTCTTGGACAACAGAATTACTTTGGAGAGGGAGAAATCGAAACAGATAAAGATGGCTATGCACGGTCATTTTCAAAGTTACAAAAATGGAGCCACTAAATGATATTCTATTAAGATTTGTAAATAAAGCTAATGCAAGTTGGCCTGGGTTGATTAGTCATGGAAATCCATCATCCTATGACTGCCACTCAAAAGTTGTCTCCGCTCCAGAGCTACTGATACAGAATCTTTGTCTTACAAGATGCTCCAAATATTTGTAGATACATTAAAAATCACTGGGATTAATGAAAGAGGGTCTGTGAATGAAAATGTGTAAATAGATCGTCAGTTGAACATTGAAATTTATTTTTTTATCTAAGTGCTCACGTTTTCAAAATATCATTTTCTCTTATTTCAAGGATCTCTTTTTCATTAACTTTTTTGAAATGCAATTTTGAAACAATGCAAAATATCCCTATTAAGTATACAGCTGCATGGGGTTTGACAAATGCATGTATTCCTGTATCACACTCATCACCCAAGTATTGAGCATATTCATTACCCCCCTCCTCCCCGATTTCCCATATTCCTTTGCAGCCAATAGCCTTTAGCACTGATTACAAGAAACCACAGGTCTGGTTTCTGTCACTATGAATTTATTTTACTTTTCTGATAATTTCCTATAAATGAAATCATTCAGTATTTACTCTTTTATGTCTTCATTCCCTCAGCGTAATGGTTGCAAGTCGTATCCATGCTGATGCATGTATAGTGGTTTCTTCTTTTGTATTGTTCAGTAATATTCCATGGTATGGCCACACAAGGATTTACTTATCAATTCGCAGCTCGATGGAAATTGGGGCTGTTTCAGGTAGTTGCCTATTATGAATAAAGCTACCAAGAATGTTAACGTACCAGTCTGTATGTAGAAAGACATTTTCTTTTCTCCCAGATAAATACTTAGGAGAGAAATTCTGGGCCATACAATAAATGTATTTTTAGCTTTATAAGACAGAGCCAAATTGCTTAGCAAAGTGATCGTGCGTTTTATATTCCCGCCAACAATGCATAAGAGTTCTAGTGTCTCCATATCCCCACAAACTTGATATTAGTGTTATTCATTTCATTTAAAATGTCGAGGGACCTCACTGGGGCTATTTTCCTGATTACTCATGATACCAGCCATCTTTTTATGGGACCGTTTTTCCTTCCATATATCTTCTTTGGTGAAGTATTTGTTCAAATATCTTGCCCATTTTTAAAATTAGCCTCTTTTATTACTGTGATAGAAGAGTTCTTTATATTCTTGACACCATTTTTTTTCAAATATGGAATGCTCCACAAATTTTTGTGACATCCTTGTGTGGGGACCATGTTACTCCTCTTCGTGTCTTTCCAATTTTAACTTATGTGCTGCCAAAGCAAGCACAATGCAAGTCTTCTGTTAGATGTACAAGCATTGTGAATATTTTTCTCCCAACTGGAAGCTTTTTATTTTATCATTGGTGTTTTACAAAGAGCAAAAGGTCTTACTTTTGATGAATTCCAAGTTCTCATTTTCTTTTAAGGTATATTCTTATTCCGTCCCATGTAGGAAATAACTGCCTACCACAACATCTATGATTTATTTCAAAATAATTTTGTAGGGGCACCTGGATGGCTCAGTGGTTGAGCATCTGCCTTTGGCTCAGGGTGTGATCCCGGGGTCCTGGGATTGAGTCCTGCATCGGGTTCCCTGCAGGGAGCCTGCTTCTCCCTCTGCCTATGTCTCTGCCTCTCTCTCTCTCTCTCTCTCTCTGTGTCTCTCATGAATAAATAAATACAATCTTAATAAAAAGCAAAATATTTTGCATATGGTGTAGGCGAGTGCTAAGAACATTTTTTTCCCCCTCATGTCAACATCAGGTTGTTCTGGTAAAATTTGCTGTATTCCCTGGCAGTTTTACTGAAAATCAACCAATAATATCTGAATTGTCTATTTTGTTTCATAAGCCCATATTACTATCCTAAATAAATGCAACACATTCTTCATTCCTACAACTTTGTGGTAAGCCTTGAAGACAGAAGCATAACTCACACAACTTCGTTTTTCTCTTTAAAAGTTATTTTGTCTATTCTAGGCTCTGCATATCCACATAAATTTTAGAATCATTCTCTATCTGATTCTCTATCTGATCAATTTATTTATCCCTATATTTACAAAGCCTTAAAAAATTTAGATCTTAGTACTTACTGCTGAATTGGCTGCTCTCTTAAATGTGTACAAATAGCTCTATGGAAAATCCTTTAATTATATTACCTTCAGCTTCTATTCATACAAAGTAATAAAGGTTTCATTATTACCTTATAATCATCAATGCTGCCCATGGCGATATAAGGAGCACAAGATGATGCCAGAATCAACCAGAATGTGGTATATCCTGGGAATTCAAATGGATTACTCTGTCTCTCCTGAAAATGCAAAGAATATAGTGAGCTGAATAACAGATTCAAAATTCATTTTCCAGAACACATTTTTAAAAATATCAAACTGATTATATATACTCCTGCCTTAAGGCCCTGTTGAGGTTGCCAAACTCTTTTATTATCCATCCAGTTTTGAAGCTTGACTCTTGTCTTTATACGCAAATTCATGAATAAGGAAAATGACTCAATGAAGGTGAGTGAATTGATATTACAAAGTTGGAAAAGAAAAAGGGAGTAGATTTGTCATTTTCTCTTTTTTAAATTTTTTTTAAAAAATTATTTATTCATAAGAGACAGAGAGAGAGACAGAGACATAGGCAGAGGGAGAAGCAGGCTCCCCATGGAGAGTTTGATGTGGAACTCGATCCTGGGATCCTGGGATCATGACCTGAGCCAAAGGCAGATGCTCAACCACTGAGCTACCCAGCTGCCTGTCCCCAATTTGTCATTTTCTTCTGTTATGATTCTAAAATTTATTCTGATGTTAAATAATAAATAATGATAATTCATTTGAAACATTCCACTTTTAACTCCTATTTAATTATTTCAAATGTGATAACTTGAGTCAAAAAATCATATCAGATGTTTTGTGGGCACAATGATGATAAGAATCTTTCTAGGTACACCACAAGACCAGATAAATATTGGTTGAGGGTTCAAAAATAGAGATAATAGAAGGGAAAGTGAAATCTCCAAGAAAAACCTTTGTACTTGGCTATACATATGGTTGCTCCCGTCTAGAACAGTCTTGGAGGACAGAAGATTCACAGACTGCCCTGAAGGCAGTTCCCATGTTACTTTCAGGATCCACATAGGTGTTGTTTGATTACACACATTACTGAAAAAAGTTATAACTGGAGTCCAGTCGTCTTCAGGCTGGCCATCAGAGACACACCTGCTAACTACAGAAAGGTGAGACTTAATTAAGCTTATTGACCGAATCTCTTCAGTATATCTTACATTCTGGGTGGACTCCGCACTCAGTGGTAAGTCCATGACTTTGAGCAGGACAGGAGCAAGGTCTGACACTACAGAAAACTCTTACTTGAACAAGGAACTGGTAAATTCACATAGAATATGAAATGATTTGCAGGAAATAATAGAGTTTAGATGTTGGGCACATAAATACAGGTCAAGTAAGGTAGTTGCTATCAAACTCCTTGTAGCTAAAATAGAATGTTTTTATAGATGAAAGCTCAAGGCAATTCGCTCAATTTGCATCCCTCCTCAGACACCAGCAAATTGATAGGAGGTTAATTAAATGAACCATAGTATATATTCTAAAATTAATTAATACTTGATGGATGATTAGAACTTTTTGCTTTAATGATTTAGTTTCTTACACATTGTTACTGAAAGGGATTTTTATTTCCTGAACACATCATGAACTACATTGTGAAAAGCTAACCCAAGATCTTGCAGGAGTGAGTAAAAATAGTGGTGGGTTCTTGGCTCTTTCCATAATCAGGACAAGACAATTATATGGTTTCACTCATATGTGGAATATAACAGTGCAGTGAATCATAGGGAAAGGGAAGGAAAACTGAATGGGAAGTCATCAGAGAGGGAGAAAAACCATGAGAGACTCTGGAGTATAGGGAAAAAACTGAGGGTTGCTGGAACGAAGGTGGGTGGGGGTCGTGGGGTACCTGGGTGATGGGCATTAAGGAGGGCATGTGATATGAGGAACACGGAGTGTTATATGCAACTGATAAATTATTGAACACTACATCTCAAACGAACGATGTACCATATGTTGGCTAATTAAATTTAAATTAAAAATATAATGGTGGATTCATTTATATATATGTGGGTGCCTGGTCCTTAGCCATATATATTATCATAAAACCCAATAGTGGAATGGAATATAGATAATTTGTTGAACTCTGAGATTCATTTATGCATTTAACAAATTAATTAGTGCTTAGCATGTTCGAGGCCCTATCTCAGGCATAAAATTTTTTAAAGATTTTATTTATTTATTCATGAGAGAAAGAGAGAGAGGTAGAGACATAGGCTGAGGTAGAGGCAGGCTCCCTGCAGAGAGCCCGATGTGGGACTCGATTCCAACCACTGAACCACCCAGGTGTCCCTCATGTATAAAATATTATGTAGTGTTAAAAATACATGGTCTCTGGGGATGCCTGGGTGGGTCAGTGGTTGAGCATCTGCCTTTGGCTCAGGGGGTGATCCTGGGATCCAGGATTGAGTCTTTTCTTTTCTTTTCTTTTTTCTTTTCTTTCTTTCTTTTCTTTTCTTTTCTTTCTTCTTTTCCTTTTCTTTCTTTCTTTTCCTTTTCTTTTCTTTCTTTTTTCTTTTCTTTTCTTTTCTTTTTTCTTTTCTTTTCTTTTCTTTTCTTTTCTTTTCTTTTCTTTCTTTTCTTTTCTTTTCTTTTCTTTTCCCCTCTTTGTCTTCCTCCTAATTTCCCTCCTTCCCTTTCCTTTCCTTCCTTCCCTCTTGTTGTTTTTGTTCTGGTTTCAGTGCTGGTGCTGTATAAGTTCATTTTCATTACCTCACATTCTCCTTGAAAAGATATTTTATTAGTTCTGTTTTTCATTTAAAAAATTGAAGCTCTGGGGGGACTGGGCTGGCTCAGCTGGTAGAGCATGTGACTCGTGATCTCGGGGTTGTGGGCTCAAGTCCCACCTTGGGTGTAGAGATTATTTAAAAAATGGAAGCTCCAAAAAGCGTATTGATTTTTCACACCCAGGAGCTAGCATGAATCCAAATGGTAATTTATTATGCAAGAGTTTACACAACAAGAACAAGATCGCAGCACTTCAGAGAGGGGTGATCTGGGAGATCCTGTGGGAAGAGAGTCCAGATTACTGATGGAAGAGAGTCAATATACTTACACTTGAAAATGTACTTCTGTCAGTTTGGATATGTGCTGATGGTGTAATCATTCCAAGTAGCGCATTACTAATGATATCCATAAGAACTGGGAAGCAATTTAGTCTTTTGGTATTGCACGCTAATGAAAAACTGTAATTCTAAAATATAAAAAGCAAGGTTATAAATTCTCAAAGATCTTCATTTTTTTTTTGCTGAAGTGGTCAAAATTCAATATTTTAATGAAAATATTGTGGTTTTAAAATGATGTCAAATAATCAAAGAAAAAAATACCATATAAGTAAAACAAAATATGTATGTAGGCTGTATTTAATTTTCAGGACCCCAGACATCTGGCTTAAGGCTAGAATCAACTATTAGTGTTTAAGAATAAAACAGAGGTTTCAGAATATATGTATTATAAAATCCCTGAGAGGAAATCTGAGTTCTTTGGATGCAAATATGCACTTGACAGTGGGTATTATACAGTATTTACTCTGCTAATACACACAGTTTGTATTGTTAGACAATGACTGAGATTGAATTATTCAACATACTATTGACTATCTCTAAGTAGGAAATGAAAGCAGTATTTGTTTTTCATTTTGTTTCCTGGAGAACTGAGTATCTTGATATTATGTTAGCTTTCCACACCTTTGAGAAACATTATGAAACAGAGACCAGCATACCTTTGTATTACCAGATACTGTGATGGCTCCATTATAGGATGGGTCATCCAGGCCATTTTTAGTTCCAAATACATCTACTTCCAAAGCTATGTTCTGATGCTCCACAGAATGTATAAAGTCATCAATGCTTGCCCCTAAATTATAGTTAAATATATTAGGTATATCACAAAACTTAGAAAATCAATATCAAGTTGTACCGCGAAATTATAATTAATGTCATTATGTGATCCTTACTGTAATATGGACTGTCAGGATATTTTCCACATAAGAACATACTTGCTACTGTGAATTAAGAATCTATGCACTTGTCATGGGGTTTACTTTATAATATGTTTATTTGTTTCTGATTATTGTTAACGTGAAAGATAAAAGTCTTTTTTAGCACCATATGGTATTTGGTGCTATATTTTTCCTAGACTATTGAAATGAGTGGCCTTCACAG